GAACTCCACGACCACGTCCACTGACTCGCTCAGTTCCAAATGGCGGTGGACGCTGGGGGCAATCTTGGCGGTGGCCAACGCGGCGACGAACGCGGCTACGAGGACGAGTTTGACCATGCTGAAGATGTGTTCAAGAGGGCGCAAATGCGGAAATGACATCTCGAACCAAGGCGGACTCTATCGATATGCCCACAGAACCACACAACCACTGAAATTGAGTATCCTCTGTGGCGGCCATGGCTCGAGCCAATCTCACGCGTCGATTCGTTCGACACACTGACATCTGGATCGTTCGAGTTGGAAGCCTGCAATATCAGATTGTCGTATCAGACATACGCCGGAGTACTACGAACGTTAAGCTAATTATCAGACTGCACTGATTCAGGTGAACGAAGTTTGTGGGGAAATCCAACGACAACATCTTTAAACTCCTCAAATATGGACATACCTGGTCCAGGTACAACACACTTTGGAAGAACCCCCTTGCCTGCGATGTACTACGTAGTATTTCGAAGAACTTTGTAAATTACAATAACACCTGGTCGACACCTCGAAAGAGGTCACGTGAATTCTAATATATAAGTATTAAAAGTGCTAGTAGTACCGGTACACTGGAGTAGTACCTTCCCTATCAACTGTCTCACACAATTCCTAGCGCGACCGGAGTGCTCCAAGTACCGGTAGTTGGCTTGACTGATCACCACCGGCCATTGGCGCAACCCATTTGAGGCATCCATGCTTTCAGTTGTGTTTGATCAGCGTTGGATTTGAGCTCTGAAAAGTGCTGATAATATATCGAAATTGGATTCCGCAACTGGCCGGTGATCAGCCGACTCTGATACATGTACACTGGCAGCCGCGTCAGGAATTGTATGCGACACGTTCCTTAGAAAAACTACCCAAGTGGTACATGCGAAAATAGTTTGCAAGGCGACGAGTGTACGAATATACAGTATCCTATCGTTCCAACAATCGGAATATTACAAGGTATGTTCTGCGTCCACATAGCAGCTACAGTACTGGAACACATCAGTCGAGGGCTAGCCACAATTTGAATCTACCGCAGTTAGATACCCAAGGATCACGCTACCAGTGCAGACTGATAATGGTACTTCTGATACGACAATCTGATATTGCAGGCTTCCAACTCGAACGATCCAGATGTCAGTGTGTCGAACGAATCGACGCGTGAGATTGGCTCGAGCCATGGCCGCCACAGAGGATACTCAATTTCAGTGGTTGTGTGGTTCTGTGGGCATATCGATAGAGTCCGCCTTGGTTCGAGATGTCATTTCCGCATTTGCGCCCTCTTGAACACATCTTCAGCATGGTCAAACTCGTCCTCGTAGCCGCGTTCGTCGCCGCGTTGGCCACCGCCAAGATTGCCCCCAGCGTCCACCGCCATTTGGAACTGAGCGAGTCAGTGGACGTGGTCGTGGAGTTCCAAGACGGCAACACCAACGCCCTCCAAGCCGCGAGCGCCGACTTGCGGTCGATCCAGGGCCGCGGCCCCCGCATCGCCCACCTGCGCTCGCTGCTCGTGAACTCGATGGAGTCGTCTCAACAGGCGGCGTTGGAGCTGCTGTCGGCGCAGCCCGAGGCGCTTTCCGTGCGCTCCGAGCAGTTCTACATCAGCAACCGCCTCTTCTTGTACGGCGTCAGCCGCGTGGTGCTGGACGCGCTGGCCAAACTGGACGGCGTCGCCCGCATCCGGTCGCCGGTCGTGGCGCACCTCCCCGTGGTCGACACCGAAGTGGTCGTGGACTTGCCGGTGGTGGACACCAACTCGTCTATCCTGGCCAACGAGTGGGGGGTCAACCTCATCGGCGCCCCGTCCGTGTGGGCTGGCGGCAACCGCGGCGAAGGCGTCGTCGTGGGGGTTCTTGACACGGGGGCCATCTACACCCACGAAGCGATCAAGGCCAACTACCGCGCCACGTACGGCTGGTTCGACCCCACCGACAAGTCGCCGACTCCCATCGACACGAACGGTCACGGTACCCACGTTGTGGGCACGTCCGTGGGCGCCAACGGCATCGGCGTCGCTCCTGGTGCCACTTGGATCGCGTGCCGAGGCTGCACGACCAGCTCTTGCCCCGAGGCGGCCCTCACGGCGTGCGCGCAGTTCCTTCTCTGCCCCACGGACGCCCAGGGCCTGAACCCCAAGTGCGAGCTCGCGCCCCATGTGATCAACAACAGCTGGGGCGGCGGGTCGGGCTCGAGCTGGTACCAGGCCAACGTGAACGCGTGGCAGGCGGCGGGTATCATCCCCGTGTTCGCCAACGGCAACGCCGGACCCAACTGCGGCACGGCCAACTCGCCCGGCGACTACAAGAACGTGATCGGCGTGGGCGCCGTGGGGGCCGACGACAAGCTCGCGAGTTTCAGCAGCCGCGGACCCGCCCGAGACGGCACCCTCAAGCCAGACGTGTCGGCCCCCGGCTTCCAGGTTCGGTCGGCGTGGAACACTGGCAACGCAGCGTACAACACCATCTCGGGCACGTCCATGGCGTCTCCCCACGTCACGGGCGCCGTCGCGCTCTACTTGAGCCGCAACAAGGGCGCCAAGTATGCCGACGTGTACCGCGCCTTCACCACCTCCGTGGACACGAGCACGCTGACCCCGGACAACAAGAACTGCGGCGGCGTCGCCGATGCGCGGTACCCCAACAACAACTACGGGTACGGCCGCATCAACGTCGCGCGGGCGATCGGGGGCGGCGCTGTCACCCCCACGACGGCTCCCACGAACACTCCCACGACCACCCGGACGACTGCTCGCCCCACCCCCCGCCCCACTCCCCGCCCCACCCCCCGCCGGACCACTCGCCGTCCTCGCTCGGGAAACAAGGAAGCCGACATTGCTGCCTTGGAAGAAGGGTTGGCCGACCTCTTGGACAATTAAGCAATGGGTTGCCGTGCCTTGTATGTCGATAGTAAAAACTGTGGTTTCTGTCCCAAACGAGTTGGTTCTATTGTCGCTCTTGATTGCACACATCGGGCTCGGATAAACGAATATCTAAACAACTAGTTGGATTGCAGAGGCCACTTCCAAGGTTAGTGTCGGCAAACACCCCATCGTAAGAACAGACTTCACTAAACAGTGTTGCCCATGCTCTGAGACTACGAAGCGAGTAAACCCCAACGAGATGCCAATTAGTTTAGCACTATGTATACTCCTACTACGTAGTATCAGAAATCACATCTTTTATGCCCGCAAAGGGGACAGGTTAGTCCACGGTACTAGTATATACTTGCAGGTAATGTTATGTTTCATCATCCCCCCCCACTTTAGTTGGTGCTACTAATCACAGTAAGTGTCGGCATTGTCATTTGAAGTTTTAGGTGCAAATGTGTGCGTGTACAGGCATACTACACTTGATTACAGTTAGTTACGCTACGTTTAGTCGGTTGCCGATTGAACACAAACTTGCTGGTTACTTGCACCAGTACGCGCCGTTGTTGAACATGGTGCACTCTTCTTTCGTGGCAAACGCGGTGGTGCAGATGCTATTGATCACGCACGAATTGCACACTTTGTTGGCGCAGTTGCTGCCGCCGGTGCACGCGCACGAGGGGTTGGTGGTCGGCGCAGGGGTCGGGGCCGCCGTCTGCTTAATCGTCACGGGGGGCTGCGTCTGATTGACCTTGGCCGCCCACTGGTAGTCCGACTTGATCTGACACTTGTCCTTGGTGAAGGTTGGGTCCCAGATCGTGCACGTGTTGGCTTTGCCGTCCCACACACCGTCGCAGACGCGGGAGCTTAAGGAGGGTTGGGTGCACGTTCCCACGGGCGAGTAAATGTACCACGTGCTCGAAACGCCCCCCATGTTGTTGACTTGGCTTTGTAAAATTGAAAATGAGCACATTCGATGATTCCGTATCGCAAGCTTGATGACAAGGCTTCATACATATACGATAGACCAATATATCATATCTCGAACAACCGTTATATTTCGTCGACACTGTATGTTCACCTCGCCTATAGTCGTGCGTATACAGTGCAACCATCTAGCGAATCTTTCAAATGTTATGTATTGCGACCTTTGGCCAGTCGTCGCGTATAACCGCAACAGTTGACCCTTTGCTACAGATGCGCTGTGCGTAATCCAGGGCATAAAGCATTGGTGTCCCTTAACTGGCCAAGCGATTAGCCAAGTTGGCAGTCGCCTCGGCTCGAGTTGTTCGATGGATGAGGTATTGAGACACTGAATACCTACCTGGCTTTGCTGCAGATGCCTAGCATTGTTTACCTGGTCCAAGCCAAAGTTTTCGGTATGTAGTGGCACTTGCAAGATTGAAGATTCCTCTAGCCAAATATGGAACTTCTGGACGTTCTTCACTTGCACGATACGACTATTATTTAGTTACTCCATACTTGGAGACGGAATCTCTACTTGTGCCAATCCTTGGATTCCATGATTTGCAGCGACGGCACCGGTGACATCATCCGAACTTTCTCTGCGCCGATTTCTGAGATACCGTTTAGGCGAAGATCCAAGTGCTGAATCGACGTGTTCGATCGCAGCGCAGTCGCGAGACAGGTCGCCCCCTCATCTGACATTTGATTCTTACTCAAATCCACGCATTGCAACGACTGTGCTGCGGCTACGTGACTGGCCAATCGGTTCCATTTCGACCCGAAAAGCCCGCACGCCGTGATCATTAGCTTTTGGATTTGGGAGTTCACCAATGCTTGAAATACACAGTCGAGTCCGTTGTGGGTGATGGGTTTGATTCGATGGATGGTCAAATGGCGAGCATGCGAGTGGCGCAACTTGTCTGCTAGATGCCGCAGGTCAAGGGCCCCAGAGTACAGTAGGTCAAGCACAGTTCGTGCATTGTTAACACCGTGGGGAGCTCGGGCATATCCATCAAATTGCATTTGGATATGGCCAGAGTTTGCATGGTTGAACAGCCGAAAAGCGCTTGGAAGAAAGTATCGACCACCATCGAGAGGCCCCACTGATGGGTCCACTTCCACGCGCTGAATTTGAACACTTGCACTGGCGTCGTTGTAAGCCAGTGGTTTGTATGGCGGAGCATGTCATCACTGACGACGCCATTGCCAACTTTAGCTAGCTCGACGTCGAGATGCACGAGGTGGCTAGATGTCGAAGAAGCAAACTCGAGTACAGGAGCCAGTGAGCCCATTTGAGCCGAGCCCAAGTTCAAACTGGTTAGGCGGGTCAGTTGTAGCCAAGGTATCGGAGGAGCGACCACACCACACGTCATGGCCGTGATTTGGCTGTGAAAAGGATCCACCCATTTGGAATACCACAACCAAGCAACATGGCGATCCTTGAACTTTGGCAAGCTATGCCACACCAATTCGTCAGTTGGGTGCAGGAATTGGCTGAGCCAGTCCAGATCAAACACTTCATTCAAGTGATCATTCAAGTGAACAACAGAGTAGTGGGCCACGATGGCTTCAACGTGGCCACGACTCGAAGGGTTGTCAAGAAGGACGCGGGTCACGTGCAGATGTGGCCACACCTGGTTCTTGCCCGCAGCCCGCCCAAGGCACCACAGCGAGGCCAATACGCCACGTTCTTGTCGTTGATTGGTCCGTCGAAAGGCCTGCGTACACGAAAACACTGCCACGGTGGTGTCCATATACCGAAGCATGTGCATCCATAGCTCGTCGGGCAACGGTTGCGTCATGCGTGTCAAGTTGGTGTAACGTTAGGGTTTATACTGTAAGTTACTAGTATATGATTGGTTGAACGTGAATATATTGGCCGAGCTCGTTGGACATTAAGGAATGAGGGTGCGTGGTGTATTTATTCCCTGGACGAGATTGAAAATAGCTCGCGACTAATCATTTGTGAGCTCTACCGTAGCTATACGGTACCTACCGAAGCATTATTCATGTTAAAGACTTATACCAAAGGGTGTGGATGTGTTCACTGCGCTAGCTACAAGTGGGTACTACAGTTCTAGTTAATGAGGTAAGTTAATTTGATTTTGACCATCCTCAGGTGATGCTCCGGGATGCAATGAGTGCTGGTCGCCGTTTTGCGGAGATACTTGCATGACAACTCCAACCGAAGCTCGTCTGCATACCGCCCGAATGCAATGATCTCTAAGGAAGCAACAGTAACATTTACATCCCCATGTCTAATGGTTGACTAACTCAAAACCTTCGCCATACTATTAATAACGTTATCAATTGCATACATGTAGTGCTATTAGTAGTATATATGTACTCTTTATTTATAGTAGTACTATAGGACTTTGCTTCGCCAGGCCTGCGACATACTATTACTCCGGAGCAACATAGAAGAATGTGTGACTTCACAGTCAACAATTACTATTAATACATTTTAAAACTATTCTTTTTAGCCAATGATAATGCACCCCTCATGCTTTTTAGCCAATCATATTGCTTGGCTTGATTTGTCCTGTACAAAACTCTAGGTGAAAAGCACAATATTACTGTATTTATTCTCTATCTTATAATACCACATAGTATTATTTATTCTCTATCTTCCTGGATTGTTTCGACGGTATCATTGTCGTCGTCGTGGTCTGGGGTGTGAAACACGAGTTGCTTGGGCAGGCAGGTCAGATCAAACTCGCCACATGCAATTTCTTGGATCAAATTGAACATGGTGTTCTCGAGGACAGTTGCCGTCAGGCGCTTAACGTCGTCGCAGAGTCGACTGGCTTTCGCCGCTCGTTTCGTACTGTTAAATTGGACAAATACAGGGGTCGGGGGCTCCAACGGCAGTTCGGCCATGGCCTACCACATCAATATATAAATCCAACTATTGTGAATTTCAACAATTTTCATAAATTCGCGTAATCATATGATTATATGATTGAATCACGCTGGAACTTTTGATTGGCTGCATACACTTGTCTTCTTTCTGTAAGAGCCAATCCAATCCACTCCAAAACATAGAATTAGCCAATAGCATCGATTCGTGATTCGGCAGCGAGATAGTATTCGATTCGACAAGGTCTATCTGTTGTACCGAATCCCCACAATATATATATATATATATCGATTTTTGACGATTTATATATATATATATTGGTCGTTACCTCGGTGACAGCGCCCGAGTTTAACACCTCCGTGACCAAATAGCTCAGCACGGCTTCAAGCACCGTTCGACTTTGTTTTGCCATTTTCGGGTCGTGATATCCCCACTTTTGCCGCAAAGTTGCTATCGAATCGGCATACGATACATCGTTTGTAGGCAATGGCAAGGGACTCCGGCGGTAGGTTTCGGGTGGGATTTGCTGGCGATAGAATTCCACGGGCACGACATAGGCAAATATATGGAGATATACTGGGTCTGGGGGGGGGATGGGGGTAGTTGGGGGCACTTCAGACCTGTGAAACGGCAGTCTCCACCCCTTGTGTTTTTGGCTGCCCGAGGTAGAAGGAGCACGATTATTGCTACTATTTGCCCCGCGCTTCTAAAATTCAAAGCATTATTATTATTATTCGTGTGTTTGTTTATTCAACCATGTAAACCGGAGCGATGTTATGGAGAATAATGACCAATCAAAATCGACACAACGAAATAAACGTAAATAGAATCATCAATTCAGCCAATCAGATTGCAGGAAACCACCAACATCGAGTAAGTGTGAGAATGAAATGAGTGTGCTTCCAAATATACAAAAAAATGCAGTACAAAGAATCGATCGATATATATTTGGCTAGTCATCCAATTTAGTTGGTCAAAGGATAATATTAAATTAGCCATGTAATTCACATATATATATCGTAGTATCATACACACACGTACAGCATCGGGCTGGTGCTTTACACTCAAAGTCGTTGTTGTTGGTGTGGAGGTTGTCGTGGGGCTACTAGTAGTATTACTAGTGCGATTCGTGTGCGATCGAGACGACACGGTCGAGCGGGTGATCACACTCGGTCTAGTAACCCCACTAGTAGTAGTAGTAGTACTCGCCCCATTGCCGTGTGTGGACGGCGACGGGTACTCGAACGTCGTGCTGGGCGTGGTCGTAAGCGACTGCAAAGTGGTGTTAAACTGATTGGTCATCCTGGTAGGTGCTGACACATCGTCGTCGCCGCCTCGTCCTTCGGAGAGGACCCGAATCCAGCATGCAATATCATGGTCAATAACCATCAGATCAATGTGGGGGCGCACGACGATCCTAATCAGGACATGCTGGAGCGGCAGTAGCTGGCCCTGGCTCGGCATACATAGCACCTTCTTGGACACGACCAGTGGATGCCCTTGATCCCAGGTAAACCCGACCGTAGCTGTACAGCTTGTATTCGTTAACGTGACCAGCTGCACGTTGTCAGTGTGTACGCAGACCAGGCCAAAGTCGACGCGATCGTGGCTCAGCAACGCCGCGGAGGAGGAGGATGAATGCGCCAATAATTGTGAAGTCGATGGCGGGCCGCCCGTCGTTGCCGACAAGTGCATATGGGGAAATGTAAGCGGCGCTGTGTACCCCCTCGCGACTACCGAGATGGTTGTGGACTGTTCGTACGTGTTCTCCGAGTGTAACGCTGTCGCATACAAACGGAGCTCGGATGAGTACGTAATGTCTTGGAGCGGGCAAAAGTCGACGTCGATGAACGCTGTCGCATGCGCCGGCACCACCACGCGACTCGTACGGCACTCCAAGATGGGAAAATTGAACTGGCGGGCGTTCAGAACGCTCCATGAACTGTCGTCTATGTCCACTTGCAACGGCTGGTCGCCGCAGTTGAAGACGGGGATCTGTTGGGTGCACGGTTTGGCCAATGGGTACGTGCTCCGCATGCTCTGCCCCACCTGCACCGGGTGCAGCACACACACATCCGACGGAAGGAAGAGGAGAGGTGACGATACAGGCAGCGTCCGCCCGTGCAGAATTAGTGTGAGTTTCTTGCCTTGGGATACGTTCAACACGACAGATAGATCGTGGATACCGTCGTATTGCAAGGATTCGTACGAGTACGACAAGCTCAGAACTAGCGTTTCGTGGGGTTGCAGTACACCTAATATATAAGGCAGAAATAGCATCAGATAATAGATTGGATATATATATATATTAATAGTATAGATATGATGGTGGAATACACGTATTAGAGAAGGCAGAGAGCACCCATGAGATAACTGGGTTTGGAATGGCGGATATACATATATATTACGATGTAATACATCTATAACATAAGGCAGAAAGCATCAGATAACTGATATTGAATGGATATATATATATATATATTACGATGTAATACAACTATATAACATAAGGCAGAAAGCAAAAACCTGCATCACGATGTAGTTATTATTATGCCGCTGTCAACGAAGAATGTATATATATATATATATGTATGTACATTATATGTACATTGGTTGATGCGAATGAAGAATATATATTTATATTATATGTATTGTACACCAAAAAGGTAGAAGTCGTAAATATATCACACTTGATTGTATATGAATAGTATTGCATAGCCCCAAATATACATCATGTAACCACCTGAAATGATGATCTTTCAAGTATGCAAGTAAATATATACCATCTCAAACCCCCCTTGTTTCTATCAATACAAAGAATATATATATATACACACACATAAATGTATATATCATATGAAGAACATACTAATATATATATATATACATGAAGCATATCGTCTTTTGTACGTACCAGACCGAGGCGAGATGGTAAACAGTTTCGAGTCAACAATGATATTTTGGCGCAGTTCATTCGCGGTGGGTTCCCCTCTATCTGCCCATCGCTCAAGTTCGACGTCAGTTTCGCTGGGGTAATAGATACGATATGCGACAACGAGTGAGCCAGGGTTGCGCAGTTGCACGTACGCCACCTGCGACGGCGTGCCCTCTGTCGCAGGCGTAAACTGCATGTGAAAACTGGACAGCGTGGTCATGTCTGGGCTGCTCTCGGCGTTGAAATCGACTTCGTGTTGGGTCAGTGGCGCGGCTAAGAATGCATTCAAAGCTGGTACTTGAAACTGGGTCCATGCAGTCGACGTAGGTGTACGAAGGACACGGAGGTCTTCGATAACAAGCGAGGGAAACGACGCGCTGGCATCCACATCCATGTGAAAACAAGTGCCATCGGCGGCGGCGGCGGCATGTAGAGAGGGCTCGACGGGGGCAGACGACACGGCGCACGAAATCTTGTAGGCAAAAATGCCAGCTACATTGGCTTGGAACGTGAGCTCGACGGATTGCTGGGATCGCGCGCCGAGGGTTCCGCTTGGTTTCGAAAACGATATAAACTGGCATGTCAGATCGTCGCCTTGTTCATTTGTTGTACTTTGGGAGGCTGCCACGTCACGGCGGCGAATTACGTGGAGATGGTAGATCAAATCGCAGTCGGAAGAGTTGAGAATGTGAAACGAGATGGCCATACGCGAGTTTACGAGCACCGTGGGGAGTTGGATCGACGGCGGGTCGAACGAGATGGCGCCAGACGTGCCGACGCCGACGAGCTTTACGGATGTGTCCTGGCTCATGGGGTATCCGGATACCGCCGGCTTCTCGTTCAAAATGCTCTTGACATGGACGGAGATGCGCTGGTTGTACTGTTTAAGCTGGGATGGCGAGAATATACATGTAATCGCGGCCGTTTCGTTCCCGTTCAGGCGATACACGAGTGGGGACAGGTGAAACGTCGAGTGCAACGCTTGAGGCACTTGCCACCGAAACACTAGGGGTACGCGCGATGTGTTGTGCAGGTAAAAGAGCCTCGTGGACGCTAACCCTGTGGCAGTTGGCTTGATATACACGGTGTCGACGGGGCTGCGGGTATGTAGGTTGTCCACACACACTAATTGGGGGCGGGCCCCCGTCCCCGTGAGCTCCAATGTCACATGTGTGACAAAGTTCACAATTGTGACGAGGCGGTGGACGTAGCGGCGGGGGTGGGTGGGGGTAAAACGGATCTGCACGAGGTGGAAACCGTTGGGGGGGATGCGGCCCATGGGGGGGTGTACCCAAAACACACGACATGGGTCCTGGACCACGGAAAAGAGGGCGGGGGTGTCACTCGCGTTGACCAGTGACACCGTTTCGTACACGGAATCGCCCACATAAGCTGGGGGAAACGGACACAGGTCGGGTTTGGCTGTTTCGAACGTCACTTTTGAAAGAAACTGGCTGTTTGGTGTTGGAAACGAATGGCCACTCGCGTGCACGACCACACACCACGGCGGTGTCAGCGTTTGGGGGTTTACCAATCGAAACGTTCGGTTCGATTTAAAAAACACGTGGCTCTCAAGCTCGGCAAAGTAGTACGCGTTGCCACGTGTCGGGGTAAACGAGACCGTAAACGAAGCCGACGCCCCTGGCGCGATGTCACAGATTGTGGGCCAGATGCGAAACGTAGGTGTTTCGAACGCGTTCGTTTCAGACACACGCCATAAACATGTCACCTTGCCCTGGGTATAATTTGTCACCACGAGCGATTTCGTAGCTCTGGGGGACCCGAAAAAGAACTCGAGCAACGACTCGGACACGACGATCGCGTTGCTCCGGTGCGTAGCAACGTGGAAAAACTCGTCGCAGATACGCACGTCCGACAGAACAGACTCACCACTCCTGGTGAGCAACTTGGGATCGTCGCCCCCCATCTGTTGCTTCGCAAGTGCGCCTTGCAAAAAGTACGCATCGCCCTTTTCTTCTAACAGCGTTTCGAGGCCGTCGGGGGAGAGATGGCCCCTATATATATCATTATTCTATATATATATATCATTAATCTATATATATATATATATGGATTCATCGACTAGACCTGCAAATGTTTTATAGTGCATATATTATACTTTCGTGATCCGTGTACTGTACATGATTCCCCATCATCGTACGATCACGTGTCCATCAATTACTATCTTCTTTTCAAAGCACATCACACTGATTCATTCGTTCAAACAGTCAAAACGATCCTATATATATATATATATATATAATATTAGTCTAGAACAACTATCCAACATATATATATATGTTTGTACAGCCCCCATGAAATCATAACCACATATCTTCATCCAATTCACCCCCCAGTCATAGAATTCTCCGTATCTATCGCTGTATAGCCCGCCCATACGTATAGATAATTGTACCAACTCATATATACATGTATATAATTGTAGCAGTTCATATATAACTCTAGTAGCCCATATATATATATATATATATAGAATCGTTTACCAGTGATGCTGGCAACGCAGCCGATACGCATCAACATGCGCTTGTTGGAAGGGCGATGGTCGGACTTCATTGTCGTAGCCCGTACCCAGGATGTCCACATAGATAGTCGACTGGTTCTGCACCAGTATAAACAGCCGACGGTAGAAATTCCCAGCATTTTCTGGGCAAAATGTGAGCGTGATGGACATATCCAGCAGCGGCGGCACTACGCCGGCGACTTTGTCGATGCCGAAGACTCCGCAGGGCGCCGCCATAAAGTTGAATCGGGCCGCCACATTTGACTCGTTTTTGAGCACGAGCACGCGCGTAGACATGATACCTACTTGGACGTCTTTGAAATTGAGCGAATTGGCTCTACAATTACGATATTAGTAATATTCTTATTAATAATATATATACGAGGACGACTGATATATATGGAACATTGTAGTATAGCAAATGAAGCAGGATGTAGAGGTCAAATGAAACAGGTGAAATCATCTTCGGATAGGCTCAAAAAATAATATCAAGAGACGGTTGACAAGGATCTGGACAATAATACAATATTCATTGTTGTTGTAGCCAAAATATATATACGAAAAGAATGATTTTATGTAGAATAATTTAGCACATACATATCATGATGACCAAATATATCCATACAGAAGATAAAAAAACGATGCCAAAACACACACGATTGTAATAATAATAAAATGAGGTTATCAAATTTACATCCTGGCACTATATTTCGAGTGGTCCAGCTACTAACTACCCACCTAATAATAAGAACATGCAAGGAACAAGTATATAATACATATATATGTATAAAAACAGATATACATATATATATATATATATATAGAAGCAGATATCGAACACATAACGATTTCGGGTTTTAAATACTGGAGCGACATGGAGAATGACTCGATACAACCAAATAAACGTACGCAAGACTCCTCGGCAGAACGATATATTTAGCCAATCAGATTGCCGGAAACCATCATCAATGTCGAATTAGTGTTGTTGATTTCAATTAGTGTGATACTAATTCCCCCAGGACACCTATTTATCATATACATACAAAATTCAGGCCAAACTAGACTCGAGTGAGCACAAACATGTTTATCAAACGACAATGAATACACAGTCGAACGGTAACGTCGTCGCAGATAGATGGTATACTTGATCAAATTGGACGCCAAGTTCTTTTTCCACAACGACACCCGTGGTCCAATGGCTTTGCCTCGGCACGACACTGTCACATGATGGCCGCCGGGGGTCTGAATTCGGAACGTGTCGCAGGTAAACGTTCCTGGGCTTAATGGGGTGTACTTGACGGTGATGGGTACCGACGCTTCGGGGGGGATAACACCCCGAAGAGGCGAGAAAAAGAACACGGGCTCGTGATCAGTCTCCACAGGTACAATCTACCAACGTACAACATATCGCTGATATAATAGACTCAGAAACTACAGTACCTGGAAACTAGCCCGTACGAGCGACCGATTCCGCAGGATGAATTCCTTGTCCGTGGGGTGCTTTAAGCTCGAGCCACCGCCGACGATCAACTCGCCAAATTCCAAGTCGGTTTCCGACGCTGCAAAATACGCATATTTCCCAATACCGCTGATTTTCATACTGTGTTCTTGGCGTTGTTGGCGGTGGTGGTGGTTGCTGCTGGTGGTGGTCGTACCATCATTCTTGGTTTGTTCCTATAGATTTTGATATATAAATATCAATTATATATATATATATATATGTATATATATATACATATCAATTTTATATATATATCAATTATATTTATATATCAATTTCATGTATATATATATATCAATTTTATATATACATATCAATTTTATATATATATCAATTTCATTTATATATATATATCAATTATATATATAAATCAATTTTTATATATATATATATATATATATATATCAATTATATATATATATATCAATTGTATATATATGTATATCGAGTTTAGTTACTCCATATGCAGACAAGCACGATTAATAAAAAGAACACATTCATACGGAAGGGATGACAAAAATATCGAAACTGGAATTAAATATTTTTTGGAATTTGACGATTTAGATGGAGAAGGTAAATCCTTACCTGCGCGACAAAGCTGGCGGTCACAACGTACACGGACGCGGTCTGCGGCGAGAATGTCGCGGTCATTTCAAGGGTCTGGCCGGCTCGGATCTCCCCCGACGCCGGTTTGATGGAGAAGGGTCGCCCATGTTCCCCTGCATCTACGCATAGAATCTATATTGGAACAACAAGTAGTAGTACTAGCTACTGCAAGTACCAGGGAGCGTCCAGTGGAACGTGGCGTCGATTTGGCCGGTCGAGTGGAGCGGAAACTTGAACTCGGTCGTGTCGGCGGTGGGGCAGAAGCCAAAGTCGATGCCGGCGGATGGGATCACCGTGTGGAGCATCGAGATGCGCGCCTTGACGGGAAGGCGGAAGGACCCGCTCGTGGCCTTGACGCCGCCGTCGATGATGTGCACCAACACCCGGATAAAGTCGTCGTACTCTTCGTACTGCACAGGGCGGAACGCAATGTCCAGGACGCGGGAGGTGCCCGGAGAGAGCGTGATGAGCACGGGGAACTCCATGGAGAAGTATTTGGTACGCGGCAGATCATACTTGAGCTTGAGCGTGCGGTTGGACACGTTCTTGACATGGAGCTTCTTGGTGTGTTCGCCGCCGGGAGCCCACGCGCCGGCCGCGAAGAGGATCTCGTCGCCGCAGTCGATACCAAAGTTGCGCTGTTGCTCGACGCGGTTCAGGACTGGGCAGGATGCGTCGTCGTCGGTGGCGGCGGTCGCCATGGGAAAGAGAACGACGGCGGTCGGGGAGAAGGCGCGTCGGGGTGCCGACGCTTCAAGTAGAACAACCTTTCTCTGAAACTGATTTGTATATGGTTGTGTATGGTATACAAAAAACGAGATGTTTAATGCAAAACGCCGCGACCGTTTCACTTTTGGAAACCTGTTCAGCGTCGATCCAGAGGACGGAGCGGCGCGGTGGAGCAAGATGAGGATGGAGCCAAGCTCGGTAGCATATTCCATGCAGACGTACAACAAAGGTGATGGATGCACAGGTAGCTGTACAGGGATACCATTGTAGCCTGCCATACAAGGGACCCGATGAACATACTACCAATGAAAATGGCTCCACTGTTACTCCAGTACCAGGAGGACAGTAATACTCACAAGGAGCTCATGTTCCTGCTGCATACTGGTATCACTTGCAAAGTGACCTTCGTACAGCTGCTTCACGTTGTTGTTGCGCTGCGGCTGCGTACATGTCGCCAAGTGAGTGATTTGAGGTTAGGCAACGTTGGGACCGATACGTTTTATCCAGAGCTCCCATGTTCCCACGATCATCCAATCACGTTTAAACGTCTTGTACCAACTCCGCCATCGTGTTCACGAGTGTCGGCATCCCCATGCGAGGGTCTGGTGAGTTTGGCTTTTACATGACCTTGCCTCGGACGACCACATCCATCTCATGCTCTACGCCGTCAGCATGGGCGTCCTCTCTGTGCTGACAACTGGTCACCAGCATTGTCTTCGGAGCTCATGTTCCTGAATGCATCGACCCATCGAGAACCTGACGTTGTGGGTCATATTCGCCGGCGTCCGCGCCGCCTACATCGAATCCTTGAGCCAACAAGTGTGTCCCCTTGCACTTGCTACGTATGCCTACCACATTGACCGACCTAATACACGACCCTTATGCGACCCTGCGCCTCCTTCGCACAAAAGCTAACGCAAGGTAGCCCCATGGTGCAAGTATCAGACAACAAGTGGTCTACCGCGATTAACGCGACGATGGCATCTGCTGTCATCATGCAAGGGTCACCCGAGCCCGTTTCATCGACTTGTGCGCGATTCTATCTGCTCGCACAAGGCGGAGAGTTAATCCGGGGCGCTACGCAGGCGACCATCCTCCGAGGGAGCTGGATCACGAGCTGCGCATTCGCGAGTTGCTACCAACGACGTTTCTGAACAAGTGGGCATCCTATTCGCTAGCCATGGGAGTACTGTAGTCAGGTCCATGTCTGTGCTTCAGACGCACGCCTTGCTCATCCATGCTGTTCACAGTATTACTTCGGTGAAACCTCGTCAGAAGAACTGCAGCCAAAGGTAATAATAATATTGAGCAAGGATTATTCGAAACTATAGTACAGAATAATCCCCTCATTAGTACTGTGGGATTGTTTCTTTTCTATAATATCCAGTTGTTGAGAGAGAAAAGTAGTCAATCAAAGCTTCAACACTTTTATTAGGGTATTATTCTAGTACTATCTATGCGAATATGAGAAATAATAATATCCGACGGAGTTGAGGTTGGGGCGTCAAAATAAAATTCCAAACTTTTATTCGAAAGATCCAAGATTTCCAAGCCATTTTGATTTGGATGACGCAATATTATTATACTCTAATTCGATTAAAATTACCCATACTGTCATCTTTCGAACTGGACTCGCTCGGCACGACAGACAGGAAGGATATGGCGTCAGGACCGACGTATGCAAGGGAGAGCACGCCTCTCCTCAGTGCGTCCATGCGTGCCAACGAGGACCGGTACTACATGGGACAGGACAAGCGGTCGTTACTGAACACGGCGGAAAGCGGCCTTTCCACGGTGGAAGCGGCGCGGCGCCTCAAGCAGTTCGGACCAAACGAACTCGTGGATCGCACACACAAGGTGTCTCTAGGGGTCAAGTTCCTGCAACAATTCGGCACTCCTACTGCCGTGTTGCTTTGGATTGCCATTGCGGCGGAAGCGGCGACGGCGGACATCCCCGATCTTGCCGGGTTGGTGTTTCTCCAGCTCGTGACCGCCGTCGTGGGTTGGTTTGAAATCCTCAAGGCTGAGAACGCAGCGACAGCGTTGAAAGCTTCCCTCAAACCGGAAGCCCAAGTCATCCGCGATGGGGTGCATCAAACGATCAACGCCGCGCTGCTCGTGCCAGGAGACCGCGTGACGTTGTCGGGCGGGTGTGCCGTGCCGGCCGACTGCGATCTATGCGACCAGGGCGGCAACCACATCCTTGTCGACGAAGCCATGTTCACGGGTGAAACGTTCCCTTCCATGTTGGGGGCCGGGGACACGGTGAAGATGGGTTCGTTGGTCACGCAGGGCGACACGGTCGAAGGCATCGTGTCTGCCACGGGTAGCCAGACGTTCCTCGGTCTCGTGCATGCTTCGATGCCGGCCACGTACAAGCAGGAAGCAGGCCTCTTCCGTCCCATGTTGGTCGAGATCACCCTCGTTTTCTCGGCACTCGCGCTTGTGCTCGTGGGGGTTTGCGGCGGCAGCTTACTCGTCCACGGGCACTCTATATGCGATTCGATTGGGTTCAGCGTGCTCTTGTTCCTGCTGTCCATCCCGTTGAGTTCATCTCAGGTCGTGTCGTCTTCCCTGGCAGTCGGCTCGCGACACTTGGCCGAAGCCAAGGTGCTGGTCACCCACGCCACAGCCATCGAACGACTGGCGGCGCTGTCGCTGCTGTACGTTGACAAGACAGGCTCGCTTACCCGCAACAAGATGGAGCTCCAGGACGAACTTCCCATCTTCGCGCCGCACACAACCCGCGAAGATGTGCTGGTGATGGCGGCGCTAGCGGCCAAGTGGAAGGAACCCCCCAAGGACGCTATCGACACGCTCGTTCTAAATGCGATTGATCTGAGGCCATTGGATGCATATACGCTGGTGAATCATCGCCCCCTTGACAACTTGAAGCGCACCGAGTCGACTGTCCGGCGTCCGCCGACGAAATCAACAACCAATGGAAGTGGAAAGAATGACGAGCGACACGATACATGTAGCCGGACGTTCAAAGTTACCAAGGGGGCCCCCCATGTCCTATTGTCACTGTGTTCAAATGTCGACGATGCGATGCGAGAGGCGGTCACGTCCAAAGTGTTGGAGCTGGCCATGCGAGGCGTTCGCGCGATTGCCGTGGCGAGAACCAACCCTGTCACAGATGGGGGAACATCTGCGACAGGGGGATGGGTGTTGCTGGGGCTGCTCACGTTTGTGGACCCGCCGCGCCACGACACGAAGCGGACATTGGAACTCTTACATGAACATCATGTTAGTGTCAAGATGGTCACTGGCGATACGCGAGCGCTGGCGGCCGAGTCGTGTCGGCAGCTGCACCTTGGGCCGGTGGTGCTCACTCCGTCGCAGTGCATCGACCATCCCGAGTACGTGGAAGCGGCGGACGCTGTCGCAGAAATAGACGGGCCAGCCAAGGTCAAGATCGTACAGCTGAGCCAGGCAGATGGCCACGTCGTGGGCATGACGGGGCTAGGGGATACCGCGTCGCTTCGACAGGCAAACGTCGGCATCGCCGTGGACGGAGCGACGGACGCCGCCAAAGCCGCCGCCGATGTCGTGCTTACCAAAGCTGGGCTGTCCGTCTTATTGCATGGGATTGTGCTTGCGAGGCAAGTGTGCCGTCGGATTCTCACGCACGTGACGTACCGTGTCGCATCTTCGCTGCATCTGCTATTCTTCTTCGTCGTGGCCATTGGATGGCGGCGCCGCGCCGTCCCCCGTGTCACTGGTCTTGTCCAGGCTAGTACGAATACGAGTAGTATTACTAGCCCTTCCAGCGAAGTCGAAGGAGAGTTTTCGCTGCCTGTGATCGCCCTTGTGCTGCTAAGTCTGTTGAACGACGGGTTGCTGGCATCGGTGGCCCCCGTGGACTCTGTCGTGGCGTCACTTCAACCGCCGACGTGGCACCCCCGTCGATTTGGAGTGTATGTGGGCTCGCTGGCGATTGTCAGCACGGGTTTGTCCGTGGTGTGGCTATGGTGGCTACTAGACAACGCCGCTAGTACTACTAGCTCCACCCTCACCCATCTCTTGCAGCGGCTGGGGCTACTAGATGCGACATCGTCGACCTTGTCATATGGCCAAGTCCAGATGGCGATGTACCTCCAGCTATCCCTGTCCGATTTGGGTCTGTACTTCTCAGCCCGGGCCACAGACGGAGGCTTGGCATGCCTCGTCACCTGCCCGGGCAAGCCGCTGGGACTTGCGACGGCGTTATCGGCGGCATCTGCGACACTGTTGGCGCTGTTTTGGCCGTTCCAAACCATGCAGCGAGTGTCGGAACGGCTGGTGGCGGTGACATGGGTGTTTGTGATTCTGGGGTTTGGGCTCCAAGAACTGGCCAAAGGCGCGGCGGTCGGGTGCCTGGAGCGGGTCCTGCCCGAAGCGGATAACTCGGCCGAGTGGCAGCGGCGGAATCGGCTGGCACTGCTCCACCAACATCAAGCAGCTCGGCAAGATGGGACTCTGGCGATTGGATTGGACTCGGCCGTGGACAGACTGGCGCGGCTGGATATTGAGCTCAAGGCGGTGCGGTCCGTGTTGCAGGCTGCGTCGGCGAGTTGCCATTGAATATAGTTGATTCGATTCGAAACTCGAGTGTTTGGGTGCGCAATCGAATGAGCAGCAACATTAAATCGGCAGACAATCGATATATGACCAATAAAAACACAAAACATGAATCAACTAGCCAATCAAAGTATTCACTCTTGGAATAATTCAACATCGAATTCGTGTGTGATTGAAACTAGTGTGATACGGGACGATCTTTACAAAAGTCAGGACAAAGCATCGATATATCGATAGATTTGGCAAAGAATCCGCACAAAAATCGTCCAAATATTGGGTAAAACGACAATAAGAAGAAGCATGTACCCTGTATGCAAGCTTGTGAGTTGGGATTATTGGGGTTTCAGTAGTTGAATGGGTGGGTGGATGAGAAGATACTGTACTATTAATACCGTACGGTAGTTGATTTGTTAACTTCTGCGACATGTCAATTGATAGATTCAACAAATTACCTCTTTTTTTTAGATATTTTAAATAAATGGCAAATATACTTTTACAAAGGTAATGTAATTTAGAAGTCAAATTAGATACATAGGCTCAATTCCGCTAAATATATGGCATTCTGTTTAGCAGTGAAACACTTCTTACAGAGATGTTTAATGCATACAAACTTCATGTTATATAAATGGAATTCTACTGAAACGTTCAAGTTCGGTCCCAATTCAAATGTTTCAAAAACTTTCACAGGTCATTTCGTCAGCTAGTTACCGAGTAAGTCCCTGATAGAAAGGTAGTGTTACTCTTTCAAATAAACCAGTACTTTGTGTTTACATACGAAGAAATGTTAACGTTATTCCCGGGTTAACCTCTCGGGCGGTTAAGTTACATCTCAGTGATGAGCAATCTTATTCACTAGATGTACTTACAGTTAACCCCGATTACTAAGTATTGTTTTGTGCTCATACTCATTTGGTTATGGTGTAAAACGAACTACTACGTAGTAGGCTGTAATAATGGACATCATGGTATGAGGGAATTATTCGTTGATCAAACAAGTTCTGCCATACATAATATTTATTAAGTATAACAGGTAATTCAAGTCTCTCGGACACCTGCACATTCCGATAATCAGAAATATTTGATTATGGGGGAACTAAAAGTTCCCACTTACTGAACTAAAAGTTCCCACTTACTGTTAACAAATCAACTACGGTATTGGGAATTCGCGATAAACGTGCTAATATGGTTTGTCGAATAGTCAAGATGGAAAAATCACGCTGGACGTTCGGATTGGTTGAATATACTTGTTTTTTATTTAAAATATAATAAAATATATAATAAAATTATTATTAAATTATATTTTTATATTTTATTAACTGTAAATATAATTTTTTTCTTATTTTTAATCCTATGTTGTTAAAGATATGTTGTTAAATATATTGAAGATATTATTTTTGTAAGATCCAATCCAATCCACTCAACCATGGATTAGCCAATACTATTAATAGTACTGACATGTGAGTTGCGTCGATTCGTGATTCGATTCGACGGGGTCTGGAAATTTGTACCCAATCCACAATATATTATTGTCGATTTTTCTTCAAATTTCCCATTTTTCCATGGTGCCAAATGGAGTCATCTGATTGGCTAAAATCCATTGACAGGGGAAAATCGAAGACCGCAACCTTATCCACGTGAGCTCAGTATAATAACATTACCCCTATGTTTCACCAAATTCAAAAAGCCATGACTCCATAGTGTAGACAATTGAAAGTTGTGAAGAAACACGGCAGAATGATATTCGTCCATGAATGGCGCCAATAGTGCCGTTCGAACCTAACGTACAAACATGTGTTCGATTTATTGTCAGTCTCGCACCTTCGAGCCAATCAAATTGCGATTCAACCCCGTACCTTTCCAAATACTACTTCCAGAAAACGGTGGACGACGAACCACGCAGTCGCAAGAAGTACAATAGAACCCTAGCTCCACCACATCCAAGCCAGTCACCAAGGATTTTCAATTGGCAACGGTTTCGTCGAGCTCAGTAGGGCAGCCATGGGTGTACTGTCGCCACAGAAATAGCAGCAGTAGATGTAGAAGTACCAACGCTTGTAGTCGTAGAAAGGTGTACTGTATTGATACAGTGTATAATCGAATAGATGTCCAGTCAGCGCATAGTAAAACACGATCAAACTAGTAGTATAGCGGTATATAGGGCATTCGAGGTCGTACGTCCAGTCAAGGCATCGTACAACGCCATGACGGGGCAAGTTGTGGGTGCAGCTACCAGCAATTAATTGGATTGGATTTCGAAGCCCTTAAGAGTCAGCTGTGTCACTGGAGGTGCACTTGCTACGTTCACAAGGCCAGGGGGGCACTGCAAACGACAAACTAAAATGTGTCGGGCGGTACTTGAGTGCCAAGTTGGTGACGCTGCTCGTGGTGGGGGAACTCAAACACCGAGTTAATGTGATCACTGGATTGCTATTCCAAGCTGAGAGTGGAGAGATGGGAAATTAGATCCGCAGAGGACTTCTTGGAATTGAATGTACGGTCAGTTCTTGAGGGTGAACTCGATCACGCGAAATCGACCGTGTTGCTGCGGCAGGTACTGGACTTAGGCGTTCCTATTGACTCATGAAGGGCAGTCAATGGTTAGATTGACGTGAATCCTAGTGGTCGAGGGAACTCCCCCCGCTTGTGCTATCCAGGCCATATTCGACTCGTCCATTTCCACTGCTGGAAATATGTACAGACAGGTTTGGATAAGTGCTAGCAAGCTAGGCTGGTTGGGGATCCTACGGTATGGCCACAACAGACTGGCTTTGTAGCTCTCAGTGGTCCAAGTGATAGCACCCCCAACTGCCACATCCCCTACAGATACCACATTCCCTACAAACTGTGATGGAGATATGGAACACCCGAAGGAACTGGCTATGTAGCCCTCAGTAGCCCAAGTGATAGCACAAGTGATAGCACCCCCAACTGCCACATCCCCTACAGATGCCACATTCCCTACAAACTGTGATGGAGATATGGAACACCCGAAGGAACTGGCTATGTAGCCCTCAGTAGCCCAAGTGATAGCACAAGTGATAGCACCCCCAACTGCCACATCCCCTACAGATGCCACAATCCCTACAAACTGTGTTGGAGATATGGAACACCCGAAACCCCCCGTCAGAAATGAACTTAGCGATGTGTTGAATGAGTTCTGCAGGAAGCCCCCAGGTGCTGGGCGATGGGGGGCTGTCGTGTAGTCACTTGCTTGGACTTCTTTCGTGGTGAGGTGATGTTATTTCGAAACTCGGTTGGCAATCTGTAGAGTTTTGACCAATACTTTCAGGTCATGTTAAACGAGCTATGATAACGTTAATGATGTGTACTGTACATGTCAGCTATCAATTTTCTGTCTTTGAGTATTCAGCATTTCTTCCCGAAGGGGATTTGTGCCCCGTATTTCAACTGTACTTCGTTGCCAATCGTAAGCTTAATGTGGAAGGAGTACTTCAAAGTATAATATAATCCTACCACACACATTGCAAGCGTTGTGAGGGTCCAGGTAGAAAACAGTAATAATATTGAAACCCCCTAATAATGTCCAGCACTAATACTGTCCAGAATATCTTGAGGACAACAATTCCACTGTTTCTCACGTAATCATCTCCCTTATAACCCTGTAACCTCGAAACCCCCGACCCCTTGTGTTGCTATTCCTGAGGTTAAGTTGCTTCACTAGTAGTTAGTTAGCTACCTCTAACGACTGAAATGTACTTCACCCCTAGCTGGAATGTGTGGTTTTAATAGTTTACACAGCATTTGACCAAGTAGTAGTAATAAGTACTAATACAAGTGTAATTTTAGAGGGAATTACACTATCCAGAAATTGTATTATATATAGTAAGTGCAAGTGAAATGTTGGAGGGAATTGCACTAACATTATCCAGAAATTGTGGCTGGTATCCACGAAGTCCTCCACTATCAACGAAAATTGTAAGCCAATCAAATCCGTCTTTGATGTGGCTTTTGACGATCACAATTGACCAATCAAAAAACCCCACCGCCAAAAAGTAAACTTTCAGCTGGTGCTCATTGTTGAAAATGGCTGACGAGTTCGACTACGACGCGGTGGTGACGATCATCGAGCAGGCGCGACGCATCACGCGATCGCAGCGGCAGATGGCTCCGTTCGGCGGCGTCCAGAACTTCATCGCGCTGCTCGTCAACGTGGCGACGTACTACGCGTACGACGTCGACGAGCTCCGCGCCAAGCTCACGAGCGCCGTGGACGCCAAGGCGGACGCAACGCGACATGCCGTGCAGAGGTACAAGGATATCTCCCTCGGCGTGAGCATCGCCACCGTGTCCGCGACTCCCCTCATGTTTGTGCCAGTGGTTGGGTGGGTAATTGCCGGCGCGACGGCCATCACGAACGTCGCCACGATGCCCGAGACTGACCGTCGACACGTGGAAGCGCGCAACCTCATGCAAGACCTCTCCGACACCTCCAAGGTTCTGACGATCCCGTACCAAAGCGACTTGCTTCGGTTCAGCGAATTCATCGACCAACTGGAAGCGCTCAACCATGCGGACCCCAAGGACGCGGCGGCGGGTCTCATGACAATCGTGTTGTTCGCGTCGACGCTGCCCACGGGGGAGGACCGGGAAGCCATGATCCGGGACACCCTCGAAAGCAACACGGACTGCGCTTTGGTTCGACTTCTTCGGGGCATCCAGATCCAGGGAATCTCCCCGCAGGCGATTTCGGACCAGAATATTGTCGGGTTAGTCGGCCACCAGTTCAGCGCGGTGTCGTGGATGATGCGTCTGGCGGGAGCGCCTGGCAAGTTTGCGCTGCAAGGCGTACTTGTTGGGGCGATTAAGCTCGGGCTTCCATTTGCAGGGTCTGTCAAAGTGCTCAATTCGATAGCCCGAGGGACCAAGGTGCTGCGGGTGGCTGGCAAGGTGCTCACGGTGATCACGTTGCCGTTTGAGATTGTGAATCTCGTGTCTATTTGTCGAACCACCGACGATATGTTTGCGTTTGTGGACGATGCCACCAAACAGTATCACACATCGATCAATGAGGTGATTGACAACATCCGCGACGTGCAGCATACGCTGGCGACGACCCCGTAAAGGACACTATGGAGCACCATGAGCACAACAATACACGTTAGATGCATTCATGTTTGGTTTGGTTGTTGCAAGAATAGGATGGTAGTATAACCAATATTGTGCACTTTACCCAAATTTGGTCAATTCGCCAAATAACGTGAATGTTCGAATTCCATTTGATTCAATGTTAACGTAAGCTTGTACAAAAAACCATACAAAGATTCGTACTACTGTAGTATCATATATATATATATGGTTTTGCCCGGCTAAAAAGAATGACGGTAGCATCATGAATCATATAATGCAATTATAATTTATGATTGCATAATAGTAGAATGAATTTTGACTATATAAGGTCTGGCGATTATTGGGCGGTTCATTCAACCAACCGCCGGAGGAAATTAGAACACGCAATAGCAGTGTGGGCAAAAGAACGATAACAACAACAGTTTCTATTAATGGCATTTGTCTTAACGTTAGGTGATTTCTTAGAATCAATTCGCCGTTTTGTATTGACTAATGGATTTTGCATTGAAAATGGATGAAAGCAAACTATATTTCAAGCCACTTTCTACTGTAGTACAAACTAGTATGTCGTGCCTGATCCAGACAGACCCATCCAATACTAACGTGAGTGCCGTTACTGTAGAGCAGCTCCAACGGTAAATTCTAACCTAACGCTATTGCTAAAGCAAAAAGGTTAAACTTCGTTTTTACGGTTGCTATTTTGGCACTATCCGGATTTTTTAGACATTACTACCTCCGATTGGAAATGATTGATAACGTTAGGTTTACAGGTTACGTACAGTAATTATTAGAATATACAGGTAATATCATATTTACTGTACCGAGTATCTCCACCTAAACCTCTATAACCAGATAAATTCAGGAGAAATCAGATATAGATGTATAGAAATTATACGGAAGCACAGTGGAAATTGAGCATCATTCGTGATTGATTTTGACCATAACTTCTAAGATACTCTAATTAGGACTCTCTAAGCATTAAAATCGGATTTCTTGCGAAATTCTCTACTTGGAAGTATACCTATTGTCAAGGCAATAACCTAATTTGACTGAGATACAATTGTTTAAAGTGAAACCTATCAATCATTTCCAATCGGAGGTAGTATTATATTAGGCCCCACAACATTTCTAGTTTCGCGTCCAAACCCTCCGGATAGTGCAAGCGTTTCTATTCTTTATCCGTAACTTCGAATTGACATAGAAATTCGATGTCTCTTCGAAATACTATTCTACTTGTTATCAATCCGACCGTGTTCCAACTAACTTGGGAGATTCAATAAATGCCAACAGTCGCCTTCGTGTTACATATTATTAATCGTATCTGCGACACTGTTGGAAACTTATGCCGCCAATTACAAGTGTCCTGGTTGCTTGAACGTCGGCGGCGCTCTGGCCGTGCCATACGGGAGCTGGATCTGGTCCTTGATCTTGCCCCACGGCGCCATGGTCACCATTTCCTCGGAAGCCGTCGGATGGATGGCTACGATGTTGTCAAAGTCTGATTTGTACGCGCCCATCTTAATCGCAACCCCAAACCCCTGGATCATTTCGTCTGCACCCAGCCCTGCGACATGGGCGCCTACCACGGTCTCTTCGACTCCAATGCACACCAACTTCATCGCAGTTTGCGGCTTGTGGTCTGCGGGTTTTCCGAGCGAGTAAAACAAGTTGGAAAACGACGATGTGTACGCTGTCACATTTGCCTGGCCGTACTTGGCGATGGCTTCTGGCTCGGTGAGCCCAATCGTGCCGATGGGCGGATGGCTGAAGATCACGGTTGGGATCTGATGGTAGTGAATGCACGCGTTCGCCTATATATTTATATATTATATTGTCAAGTCGATTTGAAATTGGATATATATATATATTGTCAAGTCGATTTGAAATTGGATATATATATATATTGTCAAGTCGATTTGAAATTGGATATATATATATTGCTTTGTCGATTCGAAATTGGACGGGGGGCAGCGCTCAATCGAATTGGCAGAAAACCAAATCGACAGACAATCGACCGACCAATCAAAACCGAGATCACGACTCAAGTGACCAATCACATATTCTCTTTTTAACAACCAATCAATTTCGAATTCGTGTATGATCAAACGGCTTTTTCATACAATCATACTAGTCGGGACAAACCATCAAATAATACAAATAATATATATATATATATATATAAGTACCTCGTGACCAAACAATCGATCAGCCAATCGTCGGCCAGCGGCAATTGCCACGGGCGTGAGCTCCCACCCAGTGATGGTGGCGTCGCCGATGGCATAAACCCCAGGGACAGTCGTGTTCTCCTGGGCATCGACCACCACAAATCCATCTGTGGACAGTTCCACCGTGGTTTTATCCAATCCGACGTCAAATGTACGCGGAATACGACCGATCGCAGACACAATGGCGTTAAACCCAGGGAATTCCGCACGGATGTCGTTCACGGTGGCCACAATTGTGAGGGTGCCGTCGGCTTCTTTTCGAATGGACTGGAGATGCGACTGGGTCACGAATGTCACACCCGATCTAGACATATATAAATATATATATATATTCTAGATATGCACAAAGTGGGGGTAGTAGGGTTATCAAGGTTTCAAGAGCATTACACGTACTTGGACGATGCAGAATGTGCAATACAGGTACATGAATGAACGTGCACATATATATATATATATATATATATCAATACCAATCCTTCCACAGGCAATACACGGTCAAGCATACTATAGTAGTACATACCTAAATATAAAAATGTATTTATACAGTATGTATATATATAAATATATTGAAATTGCAAATATATACGAATCCTTCTACAAGCCATACTGTACATGGTCAAGCATAGTACATACTTGAATTTATACATATATATATATTGTGATTGCAAACATACACCATCCATTACATGTTTTGGTATACAAAGTGAACTGTGATTCCCAAATGCAATCAAAATATATATTCAAACACGATTCGAAAAAACGAAATACCAACATATACTCCACCCAAATATGCAATCAAAAACAAAATACATAAATAATAATTATAATAATAATAAAGAAATCAACGTACTTGGCCATTTCGTCGTTGACAAGGTCTCGGACAAGCGGGTCGAACTTGCGCAGCACTTGGTCGCCTCTGCAGAACACGACGGTGTCGCTCTTGAGGGCGTTGAAGATACCCGCCAGCTCCACGGCGATGTACCCCGCGCCCACGACGGCCACCTTCTTCGGCTGCGTCGGCAGGTCGAAGAATCCGTCTGACGAGATCGCGTGCTCGATGCCGGGGATCGTCGGCAGTTGCGGGACGCCTCCCACGGCGATCAAGATATGCGGCGCCGTGAAGCGCAGGCCGTTGACCTCGACAGTGTGGTCGTCGACGAAGGTCGCCGCTCCGATGACGTGGTCGATGTTTTCCTCTCCCAGTCCTTCCTCGTATGCACCCGTGAGCCAGTTCACGTACGCGTCGCGCTTGGCCTTCATGGCGGCCCAGTCGAAACTGCCAAACTTGACGTTCACGACCTCTTTGAACGAGTAGTCCTTGGCGGAATGCAAGATCTCGGCGTGGAACCCCGCGTTGTACATGATCTTCTTGGGCACGCACCCGACGTTGACGCACGTGCCGCCCATGCCCGCGCCGCCGTTGGCGCGGCCGCGTTCGATCACGAGCACCTTGGCGCCGTATTCGACGGCACGGGACGCAGAAGAGACCCCGCCAGAGCCGCCGCCGATGACGATGTAGTCGTACGCAGAGTTAGTTGTGGACATGGTGGCCAATGTCGAAATGGTGGACCAGCATTGTTGTGAGGGAGGGACTCAAACAATCCACCGAAGTCGACGGATCTGATAGGATCTGGATCGGATGACGAAATCAATTCGTCAAAGTCGGCCTTGTTTTGTATTATTCATTCGATTCTATATTATATATGGATTTGTATACCGCATGGTTGTTTTTAATCCACAACATTGTCAATTTGGGCATATTTTGGTCCAAAATTCAAAATTTGGACAGATTGGACGAAAAAAGTCCCAAAATCAGAAGAATGCGTTCGTCACCAGAGGTGATACCAGTAGTAACTGTAAATACTGTAAATCTCACTCGGATTTCGAATTCAAGTCGTCCTTTACTGTTATTACTGTAGTACTTACTATTAATAGATTTCGAAAATGGGCATATATGATCATTTTCGAATTCAAAACAGGTCCTAAAGGTACAGAATTCCAACGTCAACACCCCATGATCAAGGTTTGCTGCTCTTAGACAAGGCTTGGAACCCTTTAAGACGCGGACCCTCTATATTTTTGAGTGCCAATTTTTTTTACTGTTAAGTCGTATACTACCTAGTATTTTAGACCTTCCTTTTTGTACTAGGATTGGGGCGGCATTTTCGTACAACCAAACAGTGTAAACTGCTGTGTAGTTCTATATATTGGCACATTGATTCCATGTCCTAACTATTAATAGTACTACTAATATTAATACTACTTACTACTACTATTATAGTAATCCTCGCTCGTGTCCACATCTATTAATATTAATCATATGAATAGCACACGACCAAACTCGAGATCAAGATCGAGAATCGCACGTTATTTGTGAATCTAATCCCCACCCAGCCGAGACTAGTAGTACTATCCAGTAGTACTATCTAGGGGGTGCCGAGGGTATGCAGCAGCTCTTCGACGTCGTCCACGTGGTTTACAAACAGATGCGCGTTCGAGGGTTTCTTGCCCACCGTGCACGTAAACACATGCTGCAGCTGCTGGTCCTTGGACGGGTCCATAGTACTACTAGTAGTACTACTAGTACTAGTACTACTCTCGGCGTAGTATTCGTAGATGGCTTTGAACATGCTCTCGTCCGTGGTGTCGTCGCCCATGCAGAAGATAAAATCGGGATGTCCGCCGTGGCTCGCGGCATCCAGCGTCAGAATGTGCCGCGCCACGACGCCTTTATGCAGACCTTCGGGTACGATCTCCAGTAGCCCCTTCTTGCGTACAATCGTAACGGGAATGTCCTTTAGCACGTCTTCCAAATCGGCCTAGTCATTTATACAATTTCATCATATATTCAAAGAATATCATATTTGCCAACGAATTAATATAAAATATAATCAATACTACAACCACAGATATGGAATCTCCCGTTGGGCACCAACTCGTAAAATAAATATATATAAACAGATATAGGGGATGTGCTCTACCTACAAATAATAATACTAACACTACATACATACAAATCATCCGACGATATTATACTCGTCAATCGTATCATACAATATAATCATTTCGTGAATATCATATCTCTGTATATACCACCACCAAGTAAGAAAACGAGACTCAAGACTCATCATCCGTCCCATCCAAACACTGTTTATATATATATATTGTCAAATCGATTCGAAACTGGAGCCCTCACCAGAATCATCGAATGTGTTAGACTCGATTAAACAACTGACTGAGCCAATCAAATCACGTCATGTCGAAAAATTTCTGCCAATCCAAACGTTTGACCCCTCCGCATCGGGCAAAACCACATGTACACTAATCGTTGTATAGTATAGTGTGTACAAGATAAAATAGGGTATCAAAATACATTCGAAAGCTATAATGACCAAATTGGGGTAAAATGCACAATAAATATATGTAATAAATACCTGCAATGACGTCGACTGCATGTGGCCCCACTCAGGGTCACATGATCGAAAGTTCCATGCGATGCCTTGATCCATGTACCGAATGACACTGCCATTGGTACGGGAGCAGTAGGTCCGGAGGATCGGATCCACCAGCTCTCGGATGGGCGACCAGTCGTACTCGACTAGACGGTGGTGATACCAAGCGCGACTCTTGTCTTCTTTGGCATTTTCATTGCCTTGGACATCTATACCATACATAATCATACCACGTTTATAACATGGACAAAGAATAAGGCTATTTTGAATAGTAGACACACAATCAAACCATGTATTGTGAATTCGCTATAAACTTCCAACAATAGTGTAGTTTGTCTAATCAATATGGAATCACGCCAGTGGTTTTTAATTGGCTGACTATATAACTTGTCTTGTAAGAGCCAATCAAATCCAGATTTTCTATCGTTCGAAATCTCCACGGCAACGAACAACAATCCATGGGACCTGCAAGATATAATATACAAGTTTCAGAGGTAGTCTGTCTCGATGCGTAAACGTGTATTCGTAATCATCCAAATATAATGGCTCAATTCGTTAATACTCCCTCAAAATGTGGCTAATTTTGGCGAAAGGGTGGCACAATACTCCACGTAAAATCTCGTCGACCGTTCCAACAGCACGGTATCTATTTATATATATATTCAAATAGGATTCGATACGAATTTCCGTCGAATAATCGAATCTCACCGCTGAATCGAATCACGAATCATCGACGCTATTGGCTACTCCATTTTTGAGTGGATTTGATTGGCTCGAAAGGACAAGTATATTCAACCAATCACAACTCCGGCGTGATTTAATATTGATTCGACAAATCAGGCGAATTTTAAAAGTTTATAGCGAATAAATCACAATATAAAAACGCTTATACACACAACCCCATCCATAACAACACCACACACACATCCAAATCGGTTAAGACTATATATTTCAACTATTTATATATATACCTTCGTTGGGGGTGCCAAATCGAATGGATTTCGCCCATGAAAACAGCGCGCCGTTGTGCGCGGCGATCCCGAGCGACGGAATATGGCCCAGCACATGCGTGAGGTTGACCTGGGACACGCCCGACACGACAAACACAGCGTTGCGGGGGTCAGCGCACAGTGTCTGCAGGGCGTGGAGCATGCGCGGGGTCGGGATCTTGCCGCTCACGGCCGTGAAGTCTTTCTTCATGTACATGGGCATGTTCTCCCGGGCAATGAGGGTGCCGCCGTAGTCTAGCAGAAAGATGCGCCGGGTGCTGGCGGCGTACGCGTGCTTGATTTTGATTGGGTCGAGTTTGCGAAAGTCGAGCGATGATTGGTCGTCCACGTCCAGGCTGTCTTGGAGGATCGACAGCACCTGTTTCGTCCAGTTACTGGCTGGTTGGTTGGTGATGTATGGCAAGTCCCGCGCACGCCGGCCGAGCCGCTCGTCGCCGCTCATGTTGATCGCCCGATCCAGGGAATTCACCACCTATAAACAACCACATTCGGGTGAATTATCAAGCCAACTAGTCGTCCTCGACGATTGGAGTTTAAAATACAAACGCGTGCATATATATATATATATATATATATTGAAAGCCACCACATCGAATAAACGTGTAAATATATTGAAAGCCACCATTTCCAAGGGTTCAATAATATCTTTTTCCAGGCATATATAGGTCTATATATATAAGCTCCACATTGAAAAAAACTAAAAATAGACGTTATGGTGTCTGCACCATGGTCACACGAGGGTATCATTTGGCTGATCCCATATGATACAATATATATATATATATGCATATATATATCGTCGTCGATGGTTGTATACCACCATTTTCATAAACATACCAATATACACATACATATGTATATATATATATATATATATATATATAAGTATATTGATATGTTTATGAAATCGGTGGTATATTGATATATACATGTATATTGATATATACATGCAAACTATCGTCGTCGATGGTTTTACATTTTCACACATGTATCTATATAGTTGCATGCAAACACACTAGAATATTGTATATCTATAAATATATAGTCGATTGATTACCTCTGTGATATTCCACGGGTTGATGCGGAGGCCGCCATTGAGTACACAGCAACAGGCCGAGAACTCACTGAGGAGCACGACGCCGGCTTTGGCGTGCAAATCGGAGGCTTTCGACGCGCCTTTGGCAAAGACAAACTCGAGGGGATGGAGGTTCAGACCTCCTCGGATGGACGTGACCAGCAGCATATCGCACGCCAGCCACAGCGCGAGGCGGTCGGCCAAACTCAGCGGCGTCGCGCTCTCTTCGTAGTCGATCACGTCGGCGCCGTGGCTCGCCGTGATGCGGGTCACCAGTTGCTTGATCTCGTGGCTGCTGTACGCTTCGTCGCCTATTCCCATATGTGTTTTGAGCTCAATGCAATAAATAGCACGTATCTACGTACCTTGCCGAGACGAGGTTAAGTGCACCCGTTGAACAAGCACCAGCTTATCTTTCCAGGTTGGACATTGGTTGAAGAACTGTTCGAAGGCGAGCAGTTTGAGGGGAACACCACTCAGTCGCTGGCACACGTCGACGCCAGCCAGCAGCAGTTTGCCCTTGTGTTTGTCTCGAAGGGCTGTGGCAGCTGCGACCACTTGGGGCCATAGAACCGCCTCCTGGATCAAGTTCTTTTCAATTCCGACGTGGGAAATCGCAATCACGACGTTCCGACCCTTGTAGTCCACGCCCAAATTGACGCCGCTTTGGCTTTGGTACGTCAACCTACGTGAATAAAACCAAAACCCGCATAAGATATGATGATGGGTTTATAACAAGGCTTGAAATATAGATATATAAATATATAGCAAGAATGCGAAATATACACAACACCAAAAGCCAAAATATGTCTATCATCCCCAATCCTATGACAGGCCCCCTTTACTATATATATATATATATATATATATGCACATGTTCGATACTGTATACCCACGCTGGCATAATACGCTATTTCTAAAATCATTTGAATAATATTACATGGTCCACACGGTTCTTCGTCACTGCGATTCGATTCAAAATAATAATAATAATAAATAAAGCAATTCACAATGCACATAATGTTTGGTCGCCCTTGAAAACACATATGAATCCAACACCAAAGGCCACATATATTATTCGGACAGCGACCCACTTATATATATGCACGTGTTCCCCATACTATCTATATTCATGCAATACAGTCCACAAGAATGTTCCCCATACTATCTATATTCATGCAATACAGTCCACAAGAATATTGCATAATTGGAATATTGCTTCAAATACAATCATACATATCCCATCAAGACACACCAATGATAGAATTGAGCCAATCAGATGACAGAAGACCATCCTCCACAACATCCCATTCGTGTGTAACAAACAAATCAGCATAAAAAAGTCCAAAGTTATGGTAGATTCGGTACAAATCAACCTCCACGACTCGAATCACAAATCGACGCTATTGGCTAATCCAATCTTTCGATTTGATTGGCTCTTCAAAAGGGAAAAGTAGTATAGATTCAACCTATCCAAACCTCCAGTGTATATATATTTACAAAAAACGAATCAATATCTTTCAAAACATATTCCTTCCAAATCAAAAAATCCTCTTCTTTTTTGTTTAAATATTGTGATTTGTTCTACTCAAAATTTCCTTCGTTGGCGGAACAATCGCCGGGCCTTTGAAATTTCATATAATACTGAGTTGAAGAGGTATGTTTGAGACTGCAATACTACAATCTCAATCTTTTTAGCCAATCATATTGCAACCTTCATTCTTTGCAGCCAATCATACTCGTTTGCTCGATTAGTGTTGTTGGCGATATCATGAATCCCCCAAAAGAGGCAAATATTTGGCTGAAAAGCACCATACCACACACATCTATTCCCAATATCCACGTCTATATCAATGTGTACGTCGTACCCGAGGAACCGTTTGCACGCATTTAAAAAGTGTCGTGCGTGGTCAAATGTATGGAACCCCACGACGTCCACCGCCAGCACACCTTCCAACAAGGCCGCGCCGTTGCTCAATTCGCGAAAGATTTCCGAGGTCGGAAATGGAACATGGAGGAAGAACACGAGGCGCGGCCGCGGGGTATGAATCGACGCGAAGTGGTCTTGGATGAGCTTGGGGAAGAGGAGCAGATGGTAGTCATGGGCCCACACGACGTCGTGCGGCGCGGCGGCGGCGGCCACGGCCTGCGCCATGCGAGTGTTGACTGCAGTATATGCTTCCCACCACTGGTCGTGATTGGCTTGATGCAAATCTTCTTCCCATACACTTGAGTAAATGTCGAGAATGTCCACGTTGTGAAACATTGGCCATAGCTTGGACTTGCAATACCTACATAAGACATATATTATGGGAAGTTTTGCCCATGAAAAAGAATAGGGGGGAATATGTTCAATAATGAATTCGACATATTGTCGATTTGATAGTACAAATTTCGGGAGGGGGTGCAATCGAATCAAACCGATCCACAATCGATCTGGTTGGTTGTTGAATTTCATTGAGAAATGGGTTTTGATTGGCTAATAAGTTTGAGCTCATCTGAAGTAGCCAATCAAATCGATTTAAATTCCAACGAGAAACCACGCCACAATGAAATTTCACTCGAAAGCACAATACTGGAATCCCTAAGATTTGTAAACAGGAGTAGACAGAATGGTTTCACGACATGTATATATATGTATATATATATATATATATATATATATATATATATATATATATATATATATCCCAGTGAAATAGACACGCATGAACAAAATGAGACTAAACGATAGAGAGAAAAAGACATCATTGAAGAAATGTTAAAGGATATGTGTGATTCCAGTGAAAAAGACATGCATTCACAAGACGAGACAAAAAGATCGAGAAAACGATGTCATTGAATATTAAAAGACACGTAAAGTCCAGTGAAAAAGACATACATTCGCAAGACGAGACGAAAAGATTGAGTAAAAACAGGATAATATTCTTTATATATATTAAAACACACGTATACGTGTCTTTTAATGAGGCCATGCAATATAATCGATATAATAGCATATTTCACATATATACATATTCAAAACACAAAGACAAGATCGTAGTACCCTTGGTAATGGTTGCGGGCGAGGGCGGGGGGTAAGAAGATGGCAAATGCATCCATCCCCGCCAACACGGCGGTGATCTCCGCCATGTCCGAGTCGGTCATGGGCACCACAGTCGACGGTGCGTTATCGGTAGACGGAACTGTCACTTCCGTGGTGATGCACCCCACCCACTTGACCTTCATGGACTCGGCGATGCTCTTCTCGGATCGCGAGATGAGACTGTCCTTGTTCCACGCGGCCGTCCATGTGCCCGTGACGGGATCCTTTGAGATGTCGATGGGAAGATGGTAACATACGAGGAAGAGCGTCGAGTCGGGGTTCGACGGCTTGTAGTCGGACGGCGTGTGGCGGCCGTGGGTCGTGCGCGGCTGCAGCTTGACCTTGTTCCGCTGGAAGCGCTGGAGAGACATGGACCGCGTGAGGGATGACAGCGGCGCATCAACAGAGAGAGAATGGTCCTTGGAGGACGAGGACACTTTGGACGAGAGGGACGACGCTGGGGGGACGCGCGTGTACACGGACGACGACGGCGACGACAGCACGAGCGTGCTGTGGGGGTCGAACGTGCCGTAGTCCTCCGAGATGGTCATGTCGCGGCCCTGGGGAACGACCTGGCGATCGCAGTCGATGGGTTCCCAATGCGCAAACACGCCGCCGGAAAAGACAGCGTACATGTACTTGTGCACGATGCCGCGAGGAAGGATGAGCGGCTTCACGGTGCGCCACACGGGGTATTCGTCGGGGGACGTCACCAACTCAATGCTTTCGCTCGGGTTGTACTGTCCCATGGTGTACGACGCTCCACTGCAATGCAGTTCTTCGCCGAACCGCGTTTCGGCGCGCACGCGGAGATGCACGCGGGTGTACGTACCGGCGTTGACGTCACCCACATGATGGTTCCTCATGTCGTCGGGGAGACTCAACCGAGGCGCCGCCTTCTTCTTGGGTTTCCCAAGATCTTGCTTGGATGCTTCCGCGATCACCGCCGCGATCTCGCGGTCGATCTCGTCGCTCTTCTTGGCGGCCATGTTGCAAAACCCAATATTCACAAGATGGTGATGGCAATTTTTAATCAATTATGGCAAGAACCATACAAATACCAAGCTATTTTTAATCTCAACATGAGAAGGGGCGAGAACTGAAAATCCAAAACGTCGTGCTCAATTATTAGCTGGGACAGATATAACCTCGTTATAAGGACATCCTTAAGCCGGGGTTTCGGGTTTCAGCAGCACACTAATCACTCAAGTTTGCCAACTACTGTAGGGAAAATCGCCAACAAATCGAGCAAAGCAATATGATTGGATAAAAAGAATGTAGTTTGCATTATGATTGGCTAAAGCGAAAAAGTGTTGTACAATGATACTACAGTTTTATATTTATATTCCGCTGAAAGTTAAAATCGCTCAGCGGGCCTCGGCCGCGTACTAGCTGCAACCGCAGCTAGCGGACTTGACTACATGAAAACCTATTTGTGTCGGCTCCAGGGTAAATGGGATGCTTAAGCCGCTGGAGGTGGTATCCGGGGGTCCGGGGGTCCGGGGGGAGTCGCGGTGGCCGGAGTGGCGGGTCGGCGTAGCCCATGGGAGGAGGGATGGCAGGTGGTAGTAAGGAGAGTCGTCTGGAGTGCCAATGGAGCGTCTTGGCTGTGAGGTGGGCTCTGCGGATGCGTCGGTCATGGCCCATGGGGGCGGCATCGTGGTAGCGGCGTTTGAGCTGTATGGTGTTGTTAACTGTAACCTCGGTCAGGAGGGTACTACGTAGAATTATAGTGCTAGTGTGACAGTAAACTTACAGTTACCGTAGTTTTATATGCTACTCTGAAGTATTTCGCAGGTCCGGCAAGTCTTGGGCGGATGAAAACATGGTGAGAACAAACAATAGACCAGAACGATATTTCCATGCACATGTACAATGCTATAACGTTAACGCTCGCCTTGTACTAATTAATATATATATATATATATATACTTTGTATGCCCGTAGAAGTTTTACCAACGGTACAGTTATCAAACGATGTTCTGCTGTGTTACATGTATACTTTGAAGTAACAGCATATCGATTTTGACGAAAAAGATCAAAATGTATCAACCTGTCTGAAGTATCCGGATGATTTGCCACTGCCACATTGAAGCTACAATATTATCCGGATGATTGTACAAAAACGCGCTTGAAATGTGAAAAAGACAAGACATTTATTCCATAAACCCGACGCACGGAAGAAGCATCACTATCCCATTGACCATGACAACCGTCGTACATCGCCGCGTCCTCGCGGGGGCAGCCACGGCCCTCTTTGCCTCGTCCGTGTACCCTGTCTACAACCCCCGCTGCATGGACGGCGCCATGCGTCTCGACGACGACGACCCGATCGTGCATGCGACCCGGGAGATTGCGTTCCAAACCGGCGTCACGCATCCGGAGAACGTGCACGTGTATGTGTCTATGGATGGAGAGACTGGCGGATCCATGGGTGCCAACGTGTTTGGCCGCGGCAGCGTGTGCATCTCGAACGCAGTGTACCGTGGGTTCCATCTCGACGAAAATGTCGACGATGAGGACGACGACGACCTTCCGTCGAAGGAGGAAGCCGAGTTCATCCTGGCACATGAATGCGTACATCTTGCCAAGAACCACTCGCTGGTCATGTCGTCGTTCGTCCCCATGGCGATGCTCTCCAGCGCGTCCCTCACCACGAAAGTGTCGAACAAGTTCCTCGCGACGTTGCTTGGCGTGGGGTCGCTTGTCGTCGGCGGCATTTACCTGTCCTGGTGGATGGAGTACGAAGCCGACCACGGCGCGGCCTCCCTCGGCCATCGCTTCCACATCGGCGGACTCTCCACCCTCGAGCGCACGCGTCGACGGAACTGCATGTTCAAGCAGACGCACCCCACACGATGGATCACGGACGAAGGCAACTACCTCGCCGACACGGCGCATCCATGGCTCACGACTCGCATCGACCACCTTGCGTCTCATAACATCGACGACTGCCACAACTGCGCCTTCTGCTCGCTGGTTTCCACGCCCTTCCGCAGCACCTAATCTATTTAATCTATCGTCAACTTATCGAATATTTTTTATGTGGGTTGAATCTATCGTGAATCGGTAGGATTGTTTACCGTGTTATTCAAAAGTAGAATGACTTCAAAACAGACGAATACACGGATAGACCGATTCAAAGTTTACCATTATAAGTAGAACGGTACAAACAGTAAATAAATACTAAGTATAAATACTATTAATAGTAAGTATTTTGCTGTAAACTTCCAAAATTCGCCTGGTTTGTCTACCAAGTAGTCAATATTGAATCACACCGGAGTTGTGATTGGTTGAATATACTTACTATCCTTTCTGCAAGAGCCAATCAAATCCACTCAAAAATGGATTAGCCAATAGCGTCGATTCGTGATTCGATTTGGCGGCGAGATTCGATTCGACGGGGTCTGGAAATTCGTATTGACAGTGAATCCACAATACTGAATGCTCACAACTGCAACTTACTACAGAAGACGACATGTAGTTTCTCAATACATGTGATAGAGTTGACGGGGGACTCGTGCGCCATGCTACTCGACTGTCACCATTCGCGTTCTGTTACATATTGCAAGCAGCATTATCACAGACGTTGCTTCAACGGGTTCGCCGTTACAAAACCAACCGTTTCACATCCAATAATGTGGCGGCAGGATCCGGCTGGCATGCCATCGATGGTTCCGCGGAGGCTACCCCGCCACCACCGGCGAAGCCACCCCCCCACTGGCGTGGACATCAACTTTGGGTCGTACGAGAACCCTCCCCACTTGTTCGCATGGTCCAGATCTCCAGATGCTGCTTTGGAAGCCGAAAAGTCGAATGAAACTAAACGTTGCGACCAGGTCCGACCTGCTGCGGTCCCAGCAACAGTATTATCTCCCGAGGTGGTCACTGATCGATCGATCTTGGTGACCCCCCCAACAACAACTCCCGCGAAGGGCGTTGAAGTACATGTACTACCATGTAAAGTGTCTCAAGGAACCCAGTGTAGCCACTCCGTAGCCACGCAAAAGGTGATCGCCCGACCTCCAATCTTACAAGTTTGTGACCAAGCTGTCCAATGCCACGATCAACTTGATCTACCATTATTCTCCACACCCAAAACACAAGCTACTGACGTGGCGCGTTGCGAAGATTCCCTTCCAGCATCGCATCCCACGTATTCAAGTACGAAAAAGCCACTGCCCCGAAACGCTGCTAGGCCCACCAGCCAGCGCCATAGTCGGAAACCGATGAATCCTGAGGCTGCGACACATGAGTACTGGGAATGGCTGCATTGGTATTCATCCTGGCAACTGTACTACCAGCAGCACCACGAACTAACCCACCCATTGAAGCGAAATCCTACGGTGGACGTGGTGGCTAAGCCAATTCCAGTCACAACCTGTACTCGACAAAAGGACAAAGCACTTCCCCGTCGTAACTCGATGTCATTCTGGGTTGATGCCGGCAAGCCACTGGCCGTGTCTGACGGTGGTCCGTCCAGAGCGAAACCCCATGTGAAACCCCGACCGACACAGTCGACGCCATGCTGGCAATCCAACGCCAACTTTGAGGCTACTCGCGCCTCTTCAGTTGCAACGGAAGTAGCTGTGATGCCGATGGCTCAAATGCCAATGGCAGCAGCAGCAGCGCCAAGTGATGGAAAGGGCACGGTGTCCCATCAAGATACCGACAAGGAGCTGACGTTGGAAGAATTGGCCTGTTGATTTGGTCACTTTAATATGTACTATAGTATGTGGTAATAAAAGAGGTGTTAAGTTTGCACGCTAAACTGTGTCAGACTGAGTGTCTTTGTGGGGGAAAAGTGACTTCGGTTGATTGAACAACCCCAATTTACCGTATAGTGTATATGCATTGCAACGGATTAATCTATTGCGACTCCTGTAATAACTGATAGTTTTCTTGTAATAACTGATATTTACTTGTGAACATGTTGAATATACTTCAAATTTGTATGACGCAATGGATTAACAAAATTTTGAGAACGAGTGTCGGCTGGTTGTGAAATATCACCTGTCGCAATACATATACACTATACGGTATATGAATTGTCCAACAGAAATTCACGTCAAATTGATAAAAATATTCATGGTTTTTATGATTTTTCGAGCCAATCACATTTGTATGTCACAATCTTAGTGACAAGATCCATGACCGCGTCCGAGATATCGCCACTGCTGCGACCACACCAACCCAGCGGCAACAGCGCCAGTCCGCAGAGTAAACCATGGATGAAAGCTGTGTTGATGATCATGCTCGCAAGTGTGTTGTGTGTCCTCAACGTCGCCTCTTTTCGTTCCGAGAGCGTCCCTGAATCAATCATCGAGGTACAGACATAGCCGGCCCGCGGCCCCCCACCGCACTACTCGCCACTCTATTGGCATACAATCGTAATAATGACTGTCAAGGAACATTACGACGTCATTGTGGTTGGCGGGGGTCCAGCTGGCTCGGTCGTGGCGAGTCAACTGCTCGCAAAGTCCCCGTCGTTGTCGGTGTTGTTGATCGAAGCCGGCGACGCCACGCAGTCCGCGCTAGGGGGGACCTTTGTGCGTGCTTCTATTATCAAATGTATCCTCCTCTGAAGTTCCTTGTAGCACTCGTCATTCACCGACACTTCCCTGCCGACGCACTGGACGCCGTTCGACGTGCCGTTCTACTGGAGCCACGTGGCACATCTAGAAGCGTTTCACTGGAACGTGTCCAACACGTTCATTGCCAAAGCCTTGGGCGGTTGCGGCATCCACAACGCCATGCTTTACGGTACCATCTACGACACCAAGTTGAGATCATGTCCATCACACTATTTGACGTCACATACACCAATTCCATGTTGACTTGCTTTATTATAACGTGATTGGCTGATTTGAATAAACATAACTACAGTACCTACACCAGTATACTAGTAGTACTGTAGTATGTACTAGTATAGCGCTCATCATCGTGATTGGCTCATTGGAATGAACACCACTACAGTACTAGTACCTACTAGTATATACTAGCATTACGTACAGTACTAGCTCATTGATCTGTGTCCACATTTTTCCATCGATCTTTTGTCATGTTATGGAATGCGTTGCCTTTCACACTAATTTGTGTCATAGTACACTAATTTCATATAAATTGTGCTTTTCTTGGGCTGATTCAACTGTTACTACAACCATTTACCTTCTCATGCCGCAGTTCGCGCGTTGCCGGAGGACATTTTGGCTTGGAATATGGCGCCAATATGGACATGGGATGTCGCACAAGCCATCTACATCGCCACGGAAGACTACGACGGGCCAAAGAATCTGCCACATCATGGCTACCACGGCCGCGTTCGAACGAGTACAAACATATATATATATATATATATTTGCTCGTAGATGTATAGAATACGCTGTTTTCGGTGCCGCAAATAATATGAATAACCTCGTTTTATGCATACTACTAGCTCGACCCAAACTCCTCGAGACGGCGTCGGCAGCGTTTGTAGCTGGTTGTGCCCAAGTCGGTGATATATACATATCTTTCCAGCTCATATGTGTAAAATAATATCAATATATCGTCGTTATTAATATATATATAGGCGGGGTTACCACAGTCGGAGGATTTCAATGCGCCAAATGGACGTTTCGGGGTCGGGTATTACGACTTTAACATTCGAAACGGCGTTCGGGACAGCGCGGCCATGGTATTTCTCGCTACATTTTGCAGTTGGGATGTTCTGAACGTGTTTACCAGACGTTTTTAAAACCGCTCTTGACAACTCCGAGTCCGCGCTTTCGCCTGCGCTTGAATACGTTGGTCGAGGTATCTATAATCATTATATATATATATATAATATTTACTTTAGAAAGTGAATATCGACGACAAACATCGTGCTGTGAGCGTGAACATTCGAACAAGTACCAGTATCTCCTCTATCATTCACGCCACAGAAGCCATTGTGCTCACCGCCGGTGCAATTCACACGCCAAAGCTGCTTACTTTATCTGGTATAAAACAACTCGTACTATTCGTTGAAATATTATAAATATATATATATTTTAGGGATCGCATCCAAGAATGTATTGGCGGACTTGGACATTCCAGTTGTGGTCGACTTGCCTCTTGTGGGCAACAACCTCCAGGACCACCCTGCTATTGCCCTGTTGTTTCAAGCTCAAACTCCATTGGACATCAATTTCACGTACAATTTCGAAAGGTGTTTCATTTAAAATGCATTTAAAATAGGACCGCGTGGGAGGACTATATACACAGGGCAGCAACCGGATGGCTGAGTACGCCAGGACTTGCTGCTGGAGCGTTCTTAGTTCCACCTGGCAGCACCGCGCCGCAGCTCCAGCTCACGTTTTTCCCTCGAAATTCCGAGCCCCAGTGGACTAATGCTTCGAACAGTCAATTGCTGTTTACAATTGCCCTTTTGGGTACGATATGTATTGGTTGTCATATTGTTTGTAATCACACTAATTGAAGTCGCACACTAATTTGACGTTGACGATGGTTGTTTCGTGAAATCTGATTGGCTAAATAAAGATGCTGGCGATGACTATTAATAGTGCTGTTCACAATTGCCCTTTTGGGTACGATATGTATTGTGTACATTTGGCTGACTTTTGTGCTGATTCTTTGCCAAATCGATCGATCGAGTCTTCTTTGTACTGAATTTTGTATGTGCAACTGTACTGTTTGTAATAACACGAATTGAAGTCGCACACTAATTTGACGTTGAGGATGGTTGTTTCCTGAAATCTGATTGGCTAAATAAAGATGCTGACGATAACTGTTAATCAAAATATGTTTTTGGCTAGTACTCGTACTGAATATGGTAAATTAGTCGAATAAATGATGTATATTTTGGCTGATAATATATCGATGAAATAGCTCCCGAAGCCAGGAATCGAGTCGTGGTTACGTCGAAACACATGGACATTCCAGTGCAAGTGACGTCTGAGATCCCCCAAGTCGCCAGTGAGCATTTGACCCCAGTCGATGCATACAAACTTGTATATGGGATTCGAGTTGTGCGAGAAATTGCTGCGAGTTTAGGTATTCCATATATATATATATATATAATATTGCCACATTGATGACTACATATATATATATATAGCCATGCAGGAGGTGGTGGGGGCGGAAGTGATGCCTGGCGAAGGCAAGGCGACAGACGAAGGTTCGTAGTAGGATTAGTTTTTGTCATATATATATATAGAATGCCAAGCGTGAAGAATATTAATATATATATATATATATATATATTGTAGAGTTGCTGGAGTGGGTGTATACGTCAGTGTACCGCAACTCGCACTGGGTGGGGAGTGCCAAGATGGGCACCACGGCAGACAACGGCGTAGTAAACCAGCGCCTCCAGGTGCTGAATGTATCGCGGTTATACGTGGCGGATGCTTCTGTGATTCCCATCATTCCCAATGGTATTATATATATATATCACGAAAACCAGTATGGTGGATAATATTTAAATATATTTATATGGCATAGGAAACGTGCATTCGACGGTCGTCATGGTGGCGTCGCATGCAGCCACGCTGATTGCACAAGACCTGGCGGCCCCGTGATCGCTAGAATAAATAATTTCAATTTCACGATATATCGCAGATAATGTATGCCTAAAGTACTACGTATGTAAACGCTGCACGGTAGTACTACGTAGTACAATTTTGGAAATAAACAAAGAGAGATAACGGATACTGTATCGGGTGAATCGTGACCTAGTACAGTACTTTGAATTATTGATTTGGTACCGGATCCCGTTCAATGATCCGAAAATTCTTATCGAATCAATAATGCTACGCAGTACTATTAATACTGTAGAAGTAATTTTTCGACGTAGGACTATGATATTATTTTAAATATTGATTTGGTACCAGATCAAATCACACCCACCAAACCGATCACGAATCGTTCCCATTGGTCAATCTGAAAATACTTGTTCTCTACTTGGCTACATTATTTTTCGTTTTACTTTGTGCTTTCTGCGGAATGGGAAAAGTCAATGAGATTTCGCGATCAGTTTTACGAATCGCGGAAAAGTTGTAGCAATTTCATAATAACGTTACTATATAATAACGTATTGGGAATTGTATTCACACTAAAATGTTTTGCCAATTGTACGCTCGCCACAACTCTAACCAATCGGTCAAATCTGACGAATAATCAGACTTTAGCGCGCGTCGACGCTAGAATTTAGAGTCCCGCGGTAGGAGAAATAAAACGCTAAAATCTGACAGAAAAAATACAGTTTTGGAGTTTTAGCGTCACCGGTGGAATGATGGTCTAAGGACACCCACTCACAATGACCAAGTTTTCGGGGGTTCTATTTTTAGATTCAACGGCAAATCTCATGGGTACAAATAATAGTCTCAGTTCCATACTTGTGGCTGCGCCCAACTTCGGCTTGATGAGAGTGGACACCAAGTTCTTGGTGCGGGGGCTCGGGTTCTTCAACGATGCGTACGATCTCTTCGTCATGAACGTGGTCAACGTGGTGCTCGAAGAAGAGTTTGGCAAGGACGTATACACTCCCGCCATGAAAGGGTCAGTGTCGGCGGCGGCGCTGATCGGAGCAGTCTTTGGCCAAATTATGTTTGGGTACCTCGCTGACGTCCTCGGCCGCCGCGTCAACATGATCATCACGTGCGCGATCCTGATCCTCGGTGGCGTCATCTGCGCGTGCGCGTCCGGCGGGTCGCCCACCGGCACCCTCTGGGTCCTTGTCGTCGCGCGCGGCATCCTCGGCGTCGGCATTGGAGGCGAATACCCTCTAGCCGCCGCGGCGTCAGCAGAGGACGCGTCCTCCGTCGAAGAAAGGAATCGACGAGTCGCGCTGACGTTTTCGCTGCAGGGGCTGGGCAGCTTAACTGCCGCTATCATGGGCAATCTGTACGTCGCCGGGTACGCACCTGGCCCTCGGGGATCGGCCTCGAAAGACGATCTGGACTTTATCTGGCGCAGTTTATTTGGCATTGGCATCATTCCAGCAGCGTTTGTGTTCTTCTTCCGTTACCGAGCTGAGGAAACGGCGACGTTCCAACAAGCCCAACAACAGCAACAGCAGCATCATGGCTTGGCCAAAACCAACTCGACCACCACACCAACCAAAGCGACGTCCCAGATCTGCAATAATATTCCAGTGCGCTTTGTCTTGCAAGTGTATGGCCGGTGGATTCTCGGCACCGCCGGCACGTGGTTTCTGTTTGACATTGTCTTTTACGCGCAGAATTTGTTTTCGGCGTCAATTTTGTCCGTCGTGGGCATCTCCGAGCCGACGTTGACCAACGTGACAACTCAAAACGTCGTCGTCGCATGTGTGGCGCTGCCGGGGTACTACGTCGCCGTGTACTTTATCAACCGGCTCGGACGTCGTAAGATGCAATTGCAGGGGTTTACGTGCATGATGTTATTGTTTATGATTCTCTCCAGTGTGTGGAGCGATCTCCAGCACGACACCACGGTACCAAGTCAAATCGATTGACTTTGGTTTTTCATGTGTTTTCCGCAGGGATTTGTGCTCTTATACGGCCTCGCGCTGTTCTTTTCCAACTTTGGCCCGAATACGTCGACGTTTGTCCTGCCCACGGAGATGTTTCCCACCGCCATTCGAGCGCGATGCCACGGATTCTCGGCTGCCATGGGCAAGTTTTGCGCCGCGATCGGGTCCTACGGCTTTGCCCGGTCGTCCGGACAAGACAACCTCGGCGCCACCTTTGGCGCGTTCGCGGTCTTTTGCTTCATTTCGATCCCCCTTACGTTGTACTGTACGTTCGACAACCCGAGCCCCCTGAGCGACGGAGACGCCGAATTCGACCGCCGCCTGCGCATCTTTCGCGGCACGGCGTTGCAAGACGAAGACTTTAACGATATTGACGACGATGACTTAGCGGACGAAGAGGTCGACGTGGATATTGCGGCCTCCCGTATAATACATCACGGGCCTCAATCCGTGTAAAATATGGCCGTTAAAACTTAGCCTATCGTGATGTCTAGTACGAGGTCGCTGGAAGAAGAGCCCGATGATTCCTACAATACCAACGTTGGAATAGTGCATTTGTATCGGTTTTTGATTGTCATGCCATATCACGCCAAAAGAACCGAATAAATAAATTGGTAGTTATGGCTAAACATAGCCCTTGTTGCTTGGCAGTGGGGGTAGGTACGGACGGAATGCGGCGGGGGGCCGTCAAGGTCGAATACTGCCCCATTCGTGACCAAGTGGTGGTGCTAGAAGGAGACGCGAGTCCTCCACGGTTGTGTCGCCAGTCCAAACAGGTTTCTTCTCCCCGTCCTAAGTACACCAATACAGCTACAGCTACGTCGATTCGAAACCTCTACCTTCCCTTCTCGTCCATCGCAGCCAAGTGCGTGCTGCATCCCCTCGTTCCATCTTCGTCGTCGTCTCCATGCCGCCCACTCACATCTACCGTCGATACCCGCCGTCGCCCTGTGCCCGCCTGTCCACACGTCCGCATCGTTCGGTCGCCGCCTCCAACTTTGTCTACACTGTTGGATCCAACGCTGTTGTCCGATCAACCACAGCGAGATGATGAATCCGAGACGAAAAACCACAACAAGGAGCTGCTGTGGCTGCGCCATCGGTGGTTCACCAAGCATGGGAAACCGAGTCGTATGAAGGAGGACCGCGCCAAGATGGTGCTCATGCGGCGGTGGTTCGAGTTCCTCGACACGGACGGGTCAGGTGAAATCGGCCTGAATGAACTCGAAGACCCCCTCGTGTCGGTGGGGCTGGCGAAATGTCGGCTGGACGTTCGGCAACTCATTCAAACCGTGGACGACAGCGACAATGGCGAAGTGAACTTTGACGAGTTCCTAAGCATGATGCGCGGCCAAACAAACGTGGCGATGAAACAACCGCGACCGCCCCTGAGTGCCCCCAAGTCGGTTGTACCGACTTGTACAGCACGTGGTCACGTATGCGCGACAGGAGCAGTTACGTCACCATCCACTGGGAGTAGTGGCGACGACGCCAATTCTGTCGTGCGGTTGTTTTCAGGTTCGTAATCAGAGGCTTGTTCAGGTTGGGACCACCAAGCACTTTTTTTTCGGTAGACTTGCAGGAAGGCAAACTGGGAGACTTGACGCTGCCATTTCCGATCCTCATCACGGCGTACCGTCGTCGGATGTTGTTAAATGCACACATGGCGCCGTTGGAGTGCGACCGAAGCCAAGGTCACTCGGTCTTGACAGCGCTGGAAGTCACGCGACGAGAAGCGGCCATCCAGGACGAGGAAGATGAGATCCAGAGGGCCCAGCAGCGTCAGCGCCGAACATCCATGTCGTATCGTGCCGGCGACGCGCTTCGAAGGGAAGACGTCGAGAAATTATCGACTATTGGGTCGAAAACAGCGTCCAATGCATTGCGTGACGGCGAGAACGCTCCTGTGGTTCGACAAGTTGGAAATTCACGGCAACTTCTGCGACTGCCAGACTTGTACGATTGAGGATTCGGGTGAACTATCACGACTTGTCGAAAATATCGATCGTCGAATGGAGTGTGGGTTTGGGAATTGAATACCAATACAATAGTTTACGACATGTTCATCTAACGTAGACGTTTTGAGTCATTCGTATAGTCGTTGTCGTCGACTTCCTTTGGGCGTAGTACAGTGTTCTTCGTGAAAGAAAAGATCAAAGCCGGCAACCCTTCGAGAATGCCACGTCATCGGCGATATTGAGAACAATTTGAAGGATACGGTAGTATCTCGCAATTTCGATATGCTCTACCGTTTCGTCAATGAAAAACAGTGTCATTTTGGTTGGCGACTGGCCACACGATGGGACAAATTGTTGGAACGCTCACGCTGTCGTCCACGACTGGCACTTGCCCAGGACTGAGTACTACTTTCTCGTCGTGTCCAGACCGTGGAACGGTGTGTGGGCCAACGGTGCATGTAACTGTGTGGAACCCCAGTTTCTCGGAATCGGATTGCAGGCAAGTGAATGGTGTTTGGGCAGCCATGGAGACCGCGACAGCACCGCCAAGTACAACAACAGAAGCACCAACAACGATGGCACCGTCATCAACAACAGAACCACCTCCGACCACTACTAGAGAGTGGGCCAACGCCAGCTCCAACGGTGAACCAAGCCCGCGTTTGCGCAGCAGGAAATCTCAAATATCCCAAAAAGGTTTGCCACGACTGTGTCATAAATCGTGTCTGCACCAGCTTTGTGAACCTTAACGCCGCAAGTTCGGTGCAGTGTGGTGCGGAAATTGACACACTATACGTAACGTATATAAAATTTGCACTATTCACAATATT